TTTGTTTTTTGGAAGAACTAAGGAATTTGAGTCTTGGATCATTTGACAGGCACCGAATGACTCTGTCTGTTAACTTTCATGGGACTTTGATTCTGTTTCTCAGAAAAGCAGCACTATTTTTAAGTAGTTGCCTACCCATATGCTGCTTTATTGTACAAAACATTTTATTTTTTCCACTAAAAAACAAAAACAAAAAAACCATCCTGGTTCTTGAATCACAGAGTGTTAAGACTCTTACCTGGCTTTCTGTTGCTCATGACTAGTCTTCTACCACTTGGGCCAGGCTTCCAGTCCTAACTTTAAGCTATATTCTCAGAGATCATTTCTACAGTTCTTTCCTGGTTAATTGGTAGATAAGAGTCTCGAGGACTTTTCTTCCTGGGTGTGCTTGAAACAGCAGTCCTCAGATCTCAGCCTCCTGAATAGCTAGGAATCAGTACTCAGCTCAAAACATTAATAAGAAACAGGGCCTTTTGGGGCTGGGAAGGTGGCTCAGTGGTAGAGTGCATGCCTTGCATGCCAGAGGCCCTGGGTTCGATTCCTCAGCACCACATAAGCAAAAAGAAAAAAGCTGGAAGTGGCGCTGTGGCTCAAGTGGTAGAGCGCTAGCCTTGAGCTGAAGAGCTGAGGAACAGTGCCCAGGCCCAGAGTTCAGGCCCATGACCGGGCCCAAAAAAACAAACAAACAAAAAAAGAAGAAACAGGGCCTTTTGATTACATGGCTAATCCGAAATAAGGAGTAGTCTAACTAAAATGCATGAAATTTCAAGAATTTGTCATTTTAAAATGTGAAGTTCCATATTTGTTTGTTTGTTTGTTTGCTGGTTGTGGGGCTTGAGCTCTGGGCCTGAGCACTGTCCCTCAGCTCTTCAGCTCAAGGCTAACGCTCTATCACTTGAGCCACAGCACCACTTCCTGCTTTTTCTGCTTTTGTTGTGGTCAGGAATGGAACCCAGGGCCTCATGCATACGAGGCAAGCATTCTACCACTGAGCCACCTTCCCAGCCCCCCATATTAGTTTTTATTGGTTGAAATTGCATGTTTTGTTCTAGATATAGGTCATTGGTGGAACATTTGCCTCGCTTTCTGAGGCACTGGATTTGATTCCCAGCAGTGGAAGAAAAAACAAAGAATAAAGGAAAATAATCATCTTCGAATACATATTTCTTATTTTTTAATATTAGTACTAAAATATATATGTAGCTCACTTATTATTGTTGTGCTAGTCCTGGGGCTTAAACTCGACCTAGGTGCTGTCCTTGAGATTTTTGCTTACACTTCTGCTTCAGCTCCACTTCTGGCTTTTTGGTGGTTAATCGGAGATGATGACTTCCTTGTCTGGGCTGGCATTGAACTGTGATCCTCAGATCTCAGCCTCATAAGTCACTAGGATTACAGGTGTGAGCCACCAGCACATTATATTTTTGTTTAGTTCTGTACAGTTGCAGTAGAATTGGGGGAGGGGGGAGGAATTCTTGTTCTTTCATGGATCCAAAGAAATCTAAGAAAAATGAGACTAGTAAGATTTGGAAATAAGTTTGCATTTGAGACAATTATTTATAATAATATAATATAAATTAGTATAAATAAAATAAATTAATGTAAATAATATATGCTATGAAATGCTTGAGTTTTGCTGTTTTATGGTAGTAAGGATTAATGCTGAGGTTTCATGGATGCTAGATAAGTATTCTATCACTGAGCTATATACCTACCCCTAAATCTTACTAAGCTAGGTACCACTCATGCCTGTAATCCTTGCTACTCAGGAGGCTAAGGTCTAAGGAATGCGGTCTGAGGCCTACCTGAGCAAGAAAGTGATACTTTCATCTCCAGTTAACCACCAAAGGGCTGGAAGTAGAGCTGTGTCTCAAGTGGCACAGTGCTTGGCTATAAGTTCAAGCTCTAGGACTGGCACACACACAACAGGAAAAGAAGAGAAAAGAAAAAATAAATTTTACTAATGTTGCTACTGCTCAGGTTGGCTTGTCAGGATTTCTAAGTAAATGCTGATCTGTTTCTGCAAGCACAGATTTCTTGTCTTCTGTAGATTTCTATAGGTTCTTAATGGTTTATAAAAGCTTGAATTACAGTGCAGCCATATATGGGTAAGTTGGGTGAGTGTTTATATGATTGAGACTGCCTTTAATGGAAAATAGCAACATGATAGCATTGCTTTTAAGACTACAACAATTTTACTTTTTTTAAAAAAAGTATTTATTTTGAAACATCAAAAGCAGCAAATCATTTAATTGCCTCCTGAAACCTTTTTAGAAGACTGCTTTATTTGTTTATTTATTGTGCCAGTTTTGGAGCTTGAACTCAGGGCCTGGTTGCTGTTCCTGGGCGGCTTGAGGTTAGCATTCTGCCACTTGAACCACAGAACTCAGCATCTGGGTCTTTGGTGATTAATTGGAGATAAGAGTCTCATGGATTTTCCTGCCCAGGCTGATTTTAAATCTTGATCCTCAGATCTCTACCTCTTGAATAGCTATGATTATAGGCAGGAGCCACTGGCTGCTGGCTTAGAACTGCTTTAGTAGAAATAAATTTGGAGCCTAGTAGTTTAGGGCTTGTTTTGAAGGTTCTAAATGCATGGAAATAATTTTCACTTTGTTACATCCATAGATAAAAATATTAAGGTCATTTCCTTCATTTTTTCCTATGCATTGTTTTATGATGAGAACAAAAAATTTAAAATGCTGTTCCAAACTTGGAGAGGTGACTTATTTTATTAGTTATGTGATGTATAAGTAGACATGAGTCTTAAAAATCTCAAGTCTTTATAAAAATTTAGGCATATTGATTAGTTCCAAATAGATTGAACCATGGTATTTTAACCAAGAAATACTATCGTCATAACCAATATTCCCAATAGTTTAGAAAAAAGTACTTTTAGAAATGCTATTTGGGTTATCCTGTGACCAGTCCCAAAGGAGGGAAGAACTTGTCGTCACATCACTCTAATGGTTTTCAATATTAATCATATTAGGTTAACTCAGATGATGACACTGTAGTCTCAGTTTTGATTATGAGTGTACCATTTTTCCTTTCCTTTTTACTTTAAGTCTTTATTTAAAAGTAGGGTTCTTTTGTATGTATCTTATTATTTATTAAGCCTTGCTTTATTTTTTAAAAAATCCAATTTGACAGTATCTGTTTTTAATTGCACACTTGTAATTAAAAGGACAGAGACAACAAACAAATTTTTTTTAGGGGCTGGGAATGTGGCTTCGTCGTAGAGTGCTTGCCTAGCATGTGCGAAGCCCTGGGTTCCATTTCCTCAGTACCACATAAACAGAAAGGTCCAAAAGCAGCTGTAAGGCTCAAGTGGTAGAATGCCAGCCTTGATCAAAAGAAGCTCAGGGTCAGTGCCCAGGCCCTGAGTTCAAGCCCCAAGACTGGCACCCCCCCCAAAAAAAATATCTTTAAGTAGTTATATACAAAGGAGTTACCATTCAAAAAAGCAGCTCATGAACATAATGAATCTTGACTGAGGTTGCTTTTTTTTTTTAATTAAATAGGACACATGTAAATGTTTAGACTTAATAGAGCATTGCTGTACCAGCAACCATTGAAAAGTACCATTGTAGTAAGAAAGCTGTATGGGCAATAGTCGAGTTTTCTGTTCCAATAAAACTTGATAGAACATAGATAGGTTGACCTTGCTTTTAGGCCTTTTAAGAGACCCAAGTGTTCACATTAAATATGAATATAAATTTATGTAATTATTGCTGACATTCAATTAAAATCTGTTGTTTTATAATCTAATAGTCAATTACCAATTTCTCCCATTCTTTGTGTCAGTGTTATTATTCATTTTTACATTTTTTTCTTTAAATCTCACTAGGTGTATTTTCTAAACTTTAGTGTTTAATATGTTCTTTAATGTTGGCTGGGAAATAAGGTGATAGAGTATCTTAGCAAGTGGTGGTAACTCTTGAGTTCAAACTCCAGTATCACTCAATTTTTTTTTTTTTTTTTGGCTGGGGGGTTGGGGGGGGTCTGGTCGTGGGGCCTGAACTCTGGGCCTGGGCACTGTCCCTCAGCTCCTCAGCTCTTTAGCTCAAGGCTAGTACTCTACCATTTGAGCTACAGCACCACTTCTGGCTTTTTTCTTTTTGCTTATGTGGTGGTGCTGAGGAATCGAACCCAGGACCTCATGCATGCAAGTCAAGTGCTCTATCACTGAGCCACCTTCCCAGCCCCTTAATTTTTTTTTTTTTTTTAAAGCCAGGCACCAGTGGCTCATACCTATAATCCTAGCTACTCAGGAGGCTGAGATCTGAGGATCATGGTTCAAAGCCAGTTTGGGCAGAAAAGTCTGACTCTTATCTCCTATATACTACTCAAGTTAAAGAAAAAGAAAAAAGGCCAGAAGTGGCCTGTGGCTCAAGTAGTGGTAGAGTGCTTGCCTTGAGCAAAAGAAGCTAAGAAGCTAGGGCCCAGAATTCAAGCCTCAGGACTGCATGCCACATCTTCCCCCCATCCCCACCCATTCACCCCTCAGAAATAAAAAGGATACAGAGTATACTTGGGCACCAGTGGCCCATGTCTTTAATCCTAGTCACTCAAACCAGAAAAGTCTGGGGGCTAGGAAGATGGCTCAGTGGTAGAGTGCTTGCCTCACATGCATGAGGCCCTGGGTTTGATTCCTTAGCACCACATAAACAGAAGCTGGAAGTGGCACTGTGGCTCAAGTGGTAGAGCACTAGCCTTGAGCTGAAGAGCTGAGGGACAGTGCCCAGGCCCAGAGTTCAAGCCCCACGACCCACAAACAGGAAAAGAAAAGTCTTAGAGACTGCAGAAAGAAGGGCAGGAAGTTTTGTTCAAGAGTAGTGAAGTGTTAGCTATGAGCAAGCGAGCTAGCAAGTAAGCTGAGCAAGAGTGTGAGTCCTGGATTAAGCTTACAGTACTGGCAAATCAAGAGTGATAGAGAATACAAAGTGTGATAAATTCATTGTAGTCAACTGAATTTCTTCCAATAATTTTTGTTATAGTACTTGTGTGGAAGTAATCGGAAGGACAACATATTTATTGATGCTGGATATCAGATGTTTGAGCAAGAATTGAATAAAATACTCCGAAGTTGGCAACCAAGCATACTTCCAGATGGTAATGCTATTTAAATAAAAGTGATGCTAACGATACTGGGATTGTTATATTTACAGAAAGTATGTTAAAAATAATTAGTAAATAATTTAGATAACATAGTTATTTAGAGTATTCATAAACATATCTGTTCATCTCTTGTTGAACTAGAAATGGAGTCAGTAAGTAGTGTTTATAAGAGCTTTGGAAGAAATGTGATGAACTTCCTCTGGAGTACAGAACTGGAAATGTATGTCTTAAGCTTTACAGTGGAGAGTCTGATGTAAATTTCTCTTAAACCACAGTTTCAGATGTTTCAAAAAAATGTGTATGTATATGGAAATCACCTATTGTTTTGAGGAATTTTACAGATTTAAGTTATTTTCTGACCATTGTCTTCTTATCCTATTGAAGAACAGGAGACATCAGTTTTGGATTTGGGTTTTTTTTTCTTCTTCTTCTTCTTCTTCTTCTCCTTCTTTTTTCTTTTTGGTGCTATGGATCAAACCCAGAGCACAGTAATCGTTTGCCACTGAGCTACATCCCAGCCCCACTTCCTAATTTGATAGGGGATAGTTTCGTAGTCTCTATGTTATTATATAGGTAATTCTGAAATTTATTCCAGTTGGCCTGTTATTTGTGGAGATTTGGGTTAGATATATTTATTTATTTCTAGATGGTGAAATAACTTATTTATGATAATTGTTGATAATTGTTTTAAAGTGGTTCTCTCTATTTAAGGGTCGATATTCTCTCGAGTTGAAGAAGACTATCTCTGGAGGATAAAACAACTAGGATCACACTCTCCAGTAGCTCTTTTGAATACCTTGTTCTACTTTAACACTAAGTATTTTGGCCTGAAAACAGTGGAACAACACTTAAGACTTTCCTTTGGCACTGTGTTTAGGCATTGGAAAAAAAACCCTTTAACAATGGAAAACAAAGCATGTCTTCGATACCAAGTGTCTTCCTTATGTGGAACAGATACTGAAGGTAAAGTAACAGATCTTTTTTTTATTTTTTATTTATTTTTTGGGGGGGTCCGGTCGTGGAGCCTAAACTCTGGGCCTGGGCGCTGTCCCTCAGCTCTTCAGCTCAAGGCTAGCGCTCTACCACTTGAGCAACAGCGCCACTTCCATCTTCTTTTTCCTGCTTATGTGGGGCTGAGGAATCGAACCCAGGGCCTCATGCATGCAAGGCAAGCACTCTACCACTGAGCTACCTTCCCAGCCCAGTAACAGATCTTTTAAGATTGTCTGTAGTGGGAATATTCAAACCTTGCCTTGGTGAAACCCATCTTGATAAGAACCTACGGAATTTTCACAAAATAAGACAAATTGTGTGTTCTTATAATGTCTCAGCTCCTTTTATTGGAGAAATTAACTGTACTTTGCCAAAAACTACAATATAGAAGTCTATAAGGCACCTAGTCCCATTTTGCTAAAACAGCTAAGGTAGAGTAGCACTGTCTTTTTTCAAGATTAGTTTTAAGACATTTAATTTTTATTTTTTAAGATAAAATTTCTACTGGAAAAAGAAAACATGAAGATGATGAGCCATTATTTGAACAAATAGAAAACACAGCCAATCCTTCAAGATGTCCTGTGAAAATGTTTGAATGCTATTTATCCAAAAGGTGAGCATTAATAGAACTTGACCTTTTAAAATAATACTGTAAGTTGGTTGAGTTTAACACTACTAAGAGGTGACATTTTTAACTGATCCTTTTTTTGGGTGTATGTTTTTGGGGTTTGAACTATGGACCTGGGTACTTTTCCTGAGCTTTTTTGCTCAAGGTTAGCACTTTACCACTTGATCTACAGATCCACTTCTGGCTTTTTGGTTGTTAACTAGAGATAAGAATCTCATGGACTTTCCTGCCTGGGCTGGCTTCAAATCTTGATCTTCAGATTTCAGTCTCTTGAATAATTAGGATTACTGGCTTGAGCCACCAGAGCCCAGCTCCTCTTCTAATGTATTGAACATGAATTTGAGTGTATCACATCTCAGCCTTCTGAGTAGCAGGATTATAGGTGTGAGTACCGGCTAACTGGTCATTTTTAAGATTTCTTTTTCCTGGCTTATATCCAAGTTCATTCAGTTATAACTTTTAGTAGTATGATTATGAAATGTCCAGTTTATGTTTCATATCTTAGGATTAAGTATATGTTAATAATTAACCACTAAAAGATTACTGCTGTCATTTCTTTTTTTTTTTTTTTCCTTAGTAGTGGGCCTGGGCCTGGGCGCTGTCCCTCAGCTCAAGGCTAGCACTCTACTATTTGAGCCATAGTACCACTTCTGGCTTTTTCTGCATATGTGGTGCTAAGGAATCGAACCCAGGGCCTCATGCATGCAAGGCAAGCACTCTACCACTGAGCCACCTTCCCAGCCCCTGCTGTCATATTTTAGAGCAGGGGCACACACTTTGTCTATAAAGGGTCAGATAAGAAATAGTTTTGCCAGGTGCCAGTGGCTCATGCCTGTGATCCTAACTACTCTAAAGACTGAGACCTGAGGATCATGGTTCAAAGGTAGCCAGGGCAGGAAAGTGTGAGACTCTGATCTCAAATTAACTACCAGAAAACTGGAAATAGTGCTGTGGCTTAAGTGGAGGGGCACTCGCCTTGAGCTAAAGAGCTCAAGCCCCATGACCAACATAAGGCTTTTAAGTCTGTTGTATCTTCTGTTCTGCTGTTATAACCACAAAAACAGCCAGACTGTGTGTGAGTATGTCTATGTGTGTGTCTATGTGTGTGTGTATGTGTATATCATATTCATGGAACTTAGCTATGTTATAATACAACTTTCCACAGACAAGTAGCTAGTTATAGTTTGCTCACTCCTGTTGGAGAGAGATGTTTAAATATAGGATACAATAGAAGTAAAGATAAAAATGAAGCTTTCATTTAAGAAGTTTTGAAAGACATACCATATTCAGACACATCTTTTTTGGTGGTTGTGGGGCTTGAACGCAGGGCCTGGCACTATCCTTGAGTCTTTTTGCTCAAGGCTAGTGCTCTGCCACTTGAGCTACAGTGCCACTTTCAGTTTTTGAATGGTTAATTGGAGACTAGAGACTCATGGGGACTTTTTTGCCAGGCCTGGTTTTGAACCATGATCCTCAGATCTCAGCTTCTTGAGTAGATAGAATTACAGGCATGAGTCACTGGTGCCTGGCTCTACTTTTAATTTTTATTACTGATGGTTTCCCCAGTCTGAAACCAACAGATTCCAACCAAAGTTTTTTTTTTTTTTAATATTTGTGAACCGTAGATTATTTTATTATGTATTGTTTAAGCACTTTCCTAATTTTCAAAAAGTTATCTTGAACTTTCTTATTTAAATAACTTTACAAATCCCAGTTAAGTTCCCAAGATAGCTATCAGGAACTTATTAATGTCTCCTCCATGACAGTGATATCAAGATCTTCCAATGGTAGAGGCTATTTGTCAGGTAGAAAATTTTAGTATTACCCTTTCGGTGTTTGAAATTGTTTCTATTGTGTAATACTATAAGTAAGGATTTTTACAGGTGTGCTATGTTTCATCAATTTCTGTCATATGTTTTACATTTCCCTCAACCTGAAACTTATGTATATTTAGGTTGATGAATTTTTAAAATTATAATCACTGCCATTAAAATAATGGTGTCTCAGCTGGGTGCCAGTGGTTCATGCCTGTAATCCTAGCTAGTTAGGAGGCTGAGACCTGGGGATTAGGGTTCAAAGCTAGCCTAAGCAGGCTTACCTTCTATTTACCACCAAAAAGCCAGAAGTGGAGAGTTGTAGCTAAAGTGCTAGCCTGAAGTACAAAAGCTCAGGTATAGTGTCCTGCCCCTGAGCTCAAGACCCCAGACAAGCACATGCCAATGCTCATGCTCACACACACTCTGTCTGTCTGTCTTTCTTTCTCTCTCTCTCTCTCTCTCTCTCTCTCTCTCACTCTCTTACACACACACACACAAGTGCACGCACTAGCGCGCGCACACACACACACACAAAATGATGTCTAGAGTTTTTGAATTACAGTTTGTAATGTACTAGGGAGGTAATCCTTTTATCACGAAAACTAATTTTTGTCTATTTTAATGACTTTATTATAGGCAACGAGGCAGAGAGTCTATCTGGCTATGTAATATGATTATGGGGGTCTCTTGAAAGAAAGGATAGTATGGGAAATTCTTGTATATTTTGTGAAACTGACTTTTTTTCCCTTTCCCCCAAAGTCCACAGAATCTTAATCAGAGAATGGACGTTTTTTATTTGCAACCAGAGTGCTCTAGTTCTACGGATAGCCCTGTCTGGTATACATCGACTTCACTGGACCGAAACACCTTGGAAAATATGCTTGTACGGGTTCTTCTAGTTAAAGATATTTATGATAAAGATAATTATGAACTGGATGAAGACACAGACTAAAAAGGAATGTTTCAGAAGCAATCGGGATAAAACAGCATTAGATACTCATGCTGCTAGATCTTTACTATGGAAAACATTTCAAGTTTACTCTTCCTGTTTTGAGTTTTGTAGCAGTGTACCCACACTGGGTTTTACCATGTAAATAATCTGTGAGTGAAAGTTGCCATTATTCTATGTAGTGGTTTTAGAATACTTAACAAATACATTCAGATTCTTTTTTATTATTTATTTGATTAGGTATGTTTATAACTTTTTACATTACAAAATATGAATGAGAATGTGCCATGTATAATTTTTTTTCTTGTAGTACGAAACATCCATATTGCACAACTCTACTGTTGCAAAGCTTCTTCAAAAGAGTGGATGCTTTTATTGGGTTCTTGACCGGATGGTTGTGGGTAGCACTACTAAAAGTTTAGAACTTGCAGTGTCTTTCACAAATTTTTAAATAAACTGTAAACTAATAGGTTGGGGTTTTTTTTTTTGTTTGTTTTGTTTGGGTTTTATTTTTGTTTGTTTTATGTTTTAGTTTGAAGCCTTACAAGGTTATGTAGAGAGATACCATCTTCTGTACCAAAAATAGACAAGAGAATGCTGTTGATATTGGTGTGCTGTAATGTGAATCTATGCTGGTGAAAACAACTTTTTGTTCCCCTTATTAAAACTTAGTGTCCTTTTCTCATTTGTGGCTTTCTGCATCACCCCAACCAATAATCTAATTATATATGTATGTAAAGAATGATGATAAGCTGAAAACAGGATCATTAAGACATTTTTCACTGTAAGAATGTCTGATGAAAATATAAGTTCTCTGTCAACCGTACACATCTGAAGGTCCCCTTTATTGGTAAAAGATTCTTTTTATTTATGCTCCTCCCTCTCCCTCCACCCTCTTTATAGATAAAGATCATGCTGCAATGTTACTTATATAGTAGTCTAAACCACTTTTATTGTGCCTGCTCCCAGACATGATTGACACATTAGGTAAGATCATTTTTAGCAATGCTACTCTTGATAGCTGTTACAGAAAGTTCTGTTACTTTAAGGTAGCAACACATTTAGTATATAGATCACCAATGTAGTAATTTTATTTCAAATAATTGAAGAACAAAGAAAAACTGATGGAGAAAATCTGTCTCAGAAGAAAATCATATTTGATGTTAGATTATTTGGCTTTTAAATTTTAATTACTTCTTATAGAAGATTGCATTAAAAAACCTACTTTGTGCTTCTGCATAGCAGTTTATATCTTCAGACATTTTCTTTTAGAATAAGGAAGTTTACTTACAATTTTACTTTCTAAAGACTAAATTATTTAGCCAGCTTTGTCTAGCATGTATACAAACATGTGATTTCCTTATTTCTAAGTTCCAAGTCACCCTGGTGACTTTGGTTATTAAGAATAGTTCAAGGGGAAATCAGCCTGTTTCCAATGAAGAAGGTAGTCAGTATCTACAAATCCCTTAGATATTTCTCTCTGTTAGGATAAATGTTAGCACACTAACAAACTTTTCCCCATCATGATTTGGAAAAATTCACAGGTATAATCACTATTTTCAAACAATAATTAATTACCTGACAAATTATTGTCCTACAAATTTTACATATTATAACTTGTTTTATAGGTTTAAATAACTTTTCTGTTCCTTAATTTTGTATCTGTTCAGTGATAATCATACTGACAACAAATCTGATAACAAGTTACCTTAGTAAAATAGACTGCTGTCTATTTTGTGAAGAAAAGTTGGTAGCATTTAAAACATGATACAAAAATTTCCTCCAGCTTACCTTTTTCCAGAGCAAGTTCTTTATGCACTTTTCCTATAAATGCATAATATTGAGTAAAAGGTGGTTAATTCTAACCATCTTTTTGTTCTTCAACCTGGTGCTATGTTCCATCAAAACAGCAATAAACATTTTCCCAAATGTCACGTCTTGTATATTTCACCAAATATAAATTTCTCCCATGGTACTACTATTAAGCACCATGTCTTGCTATTTACATTTTCTTTATTTGTATATTTTAGCTTTTTAAGGTGAAGCCTATTCTCAGTTTGATTTTGACATCATAGAAGATTTAGAGCTCCTGTCTTTATCATGATTGTAATCCAATGATAGATTAAGTTGATTCTCAGGGTGAAAAGAAAAAAAAATATTTTGTGAGAACTACTTGTTTTGGGATACTTCATCTAGAACAGGTTTTATTGAAGCTTGGATCTCCTTTGTGTGTGTGGTTATAGCTGAGTGCTGAGGAAAAGGAAGTGAAATGGTAGAAGTTTATTTTTTCTTGTGTTTTCTAATTATAGATAGCATCCTGTAAATACAGCATCCTGTAAATACAGCTTTATTGTCCTGAGATATCTATTGAAGATGCTATATTTTTCTGTCCTGAAGAATGATTTTGTCACTTAAAATCATTCAGTGAAAAAGATGATCAGCCATATTGAAGGAGGTGCATTTCCCATGCAAAATGAATCATTATTAATCATTTTTGAAGGCTTTTTACTGTATTAGGTAACAATATTATTTTTAGGCAAGAAGCTCAGTTTTTTCCCATGAAAATATTTTTGCTTTAATAGTAATTTATGTTTTTATTTTATTAAATGGAGTTGTTACCAGTGTGTTAACCTTACTGAAGTAAGAGGAGGGTGCATACTGTACTATGCATTCAAATTGATCGTTGTTTTTCTGATGGAATTTCCCCTTGTCTTGGCCAGTTGTGATTTGCAAATGGATGCAATTCATTTATGCATAGTATTAAATACAGTAATGGAGAAGCCAAAAAATTGAAAGTTTGGGTTTGCACTACATACTCTTAATGTGGGTCCATTTAACCTGCAAATATGTTGCAGTCTTAACTCAGTATAGACATTTACATTTTTATTCTGCCAGTTACTTCCAAAATGTACTGTTATACATATGTCATTTTTGTTCTAAGATAACATTGATTGTAGGAGAATCTTGTTCCCCTCAAAATAGTCATGAAAGTGTACATGAAAGTATTTTAAAAGAATAAATTTCTTTAACTAAATGATAGTACTTTTGAATTTTCCCCCTTAATAAGTCGGTTACTCATAAAGAACATCTGAATTTGTTACTATGTTCTGTGTTTTTAGGATTAGATCAACTTTAGGGCTGTCTTCCAGTATTCAGGTACTTTGTGTTGTAGTTTCTGGGGGTATCTTTCTAACAGGAACTTAAAAAATTTATAAGCTGATGTTCAGAACTCAGGGCAGGTTAGGTATATCAATCTGGGGCAGAAAATAGAAAAACACCTGTGGAGTGTCCAAATTTGTACTATTCCCTCCCTTGGAAATTAGATATTATGAGGTACATACACTAAGTGGTGTTCCCCGCCCCCCGCCCTTTTAGTAATGAACTAGGAGAACACTCTCCCAGGCAAGTGATGTCTTTATTAACTGAGTTCAGACAAGTTCATGGATTTAGACATTTTGAAAAAGTAAACAGAAGAGAAGCTAATATTTTACTTGCAACTAAAATATGAGTTGAATGTTCCTAATCTGAAAATCTGTAATATAAAATGCCTAAAATCTAAAACATTCTGAGTGCCAACATGACAGTGAGTTTTTGTATTAGAAATGTTCAACCAGTAAAGTCTATGCAAATATTCCAAAATCGGAAACACTTCTGGTCCCAGGAATTTTGAATAAAGAATTTTTGACCTTAGAATCTTAAGACAAGGTTACATATTACTCTAGGAAACAGAAATATCAACTGACCTAATTTTCTTTTAAGCCCTCCTCAGGTAACTCCTCAGAATTAAATTCAGTGGTCTGGGAAGTTGGCTCAGTGGTAGAGTGCTTGCCTAGCATTCATGAGGCCCTGGGTTCGATTCCTCAGCACCACATAAGAAAAAAAAGCCCGAAGTGGTGGTGTGGCTCAAGTGGTAGAGCTCTAGCCTTGAGCTGAAGAGCTGAGGGACAGTGCCCAGGCCCAGAGTTCAGGCCCCATGACTGACACACACAAAATTAAATCCCGTGCATAAACCATAGACACACAGCTTAGTGTTTGCTATGTATTTCATTTTTTGCCAAGGAACTGCTATTCTCCCTGGTAGTTAAAGGGGGCAGACAAAAAAAGATTACACTAGTGTTCCCAAAGTGTGTGTGTGTGTGTGTGTGTGTGTGTGTGTGTGTGTGTGTGTGTGTGTGTGTGTTTGCACGCACGCGCACGCGCACCCGTGCGGCGCATGTGGGTTGTTACTGGGAGCTTGGACTCATGACCTCTAGGCACTCATTTTGCTTTATTGCTGACTGCTGGCACTCTACCACTTGAACCACAATTCCATTTCCAGCTTTTTGGTGATTAATTGAAGATAAAAGTCTCACTTTTATGCCCAGGGTGGGTTTGAACTGCAGCTCTCAGATCTCATCCTCCTGAGTATTTAGGATTGTAGGCATGAGCCATCTATGCTCAGCTCAAAGTTCTTATCTTGTGGGGAGTTGAATTGACAAGAAACAATATACATTTAACTCCCAGGGAATAGAGAAGAAATAATTTTCATAATACTCCAAAAGGCTTCTATGAACAGGCACTGGTGGCTCACACCTATAATTCAAGGTGCTCAGAAGGCTAAGATCTGAGGATTGAAGTTTGAAACCAGCCCGGGCAGGAAGTCTGTGAAACTTACCTTTGTTACCGAAAGCCAGAAGTAGAGGAGCCCAGGGACAGTGCCTAGATCCTGAGTTCAAGCCCCAGGACTGGCACCAAAACAAGGCTAACATTGTCTATAGTAGGAATTGCATACATAGGTCATTGCTACCTGTGAGTACTTAAAACTCAGGTTCTTCCAACTGCTGTTGCCTCTCTTTGCTAGAAGTGGTAAGCAGAACTGATTCTGATTATTTTAATGACACTGATATGCTGGCTTATCTGGATAATATCAAAGGTGTGTTAGCTAGAATATCCTAATCATGCATTAGCAATAATACTTTAAGGTATCTAGACAAATAATTCCAACACAAAATCCAGTGTTACTGCTTTGTTGTAAAACTTTACTAAAGACTTTCACAGCAGTTGCTTTTTTTTGGGGGGGGGGGGTCCAGTCGTGGGGCCTGAACTCTGGGTCTGGGCACTGTCCCTCAGCTCTTCAGCTCGAGGCTAGTGCTCTACCACTTGAGCCACAGCGCCACTTCCAGTTTTTTCTTTTTACTTATGTGGTGCTGAGGAATCAAACCCAGGGCCTCTGGCATGCAAGGCAAGCGCTCTACCACTGAGCCAACTTCCCAGCCCCAGCAGTTGCTTTTATAAGTAAACCATTTGCAAAATTAACAGTATGCAAGATGAAATCTTCCTGCATTGAATCCGTATTTGTAGTTCTGAATGTGTGTCAGCAGGTGGCAGTAGTTCTCAACATAAAGTTTCAATTTTGTTTATCCTAAAAGCATCCTTCAGCTGAAATCCTTGGAGGTTTTTGAAATGCATAATATTCTTTTGGGAGGTGAAATGTGTTGTTGATTATGTAAAATTGCCTGAGGAGTCTGGTGCAACCCCTCATAATCAATTTATTTCTATAGCTGTAAACCAGACATGTAACTGGAATAAACTATGCCCTAAAGTCCAGGTAAGTTCTAAAAACTTTAAAATCAGTTTTTGGTTTTGGTTTTGAGATGAGTCTCAAAGAAGTTTCTTTCTCAGGCTGTCTTTGAACTGTGATTCTTAGATCCTCCTGAGTAGCTAGGATTCCAGGTAAGAGCTACCAGTGCCTAGCTTTAAAATTACCTTCTGAGTTCAAGGACTTTGAAAATAAAGGAACCATTTGAAATAAGACCTATGGTGCATGAAGGAGTTCCTCCCTTGCTCCACTCCCCTTTTTTTTGTGCTTTAGGTACTTGTGTTGGTTTTATGTACTTGTTCTGTGTACTGGTACCACTTGAGTTCCTCATTCTTCCGTTTGTAAGAACCTGGGGACTTGTGATAATGTGTAAGGGTGTGATGGTTTGGGGCAACTTAAGATTGAAACACAAAATAACAAAATATTTGTGATGTTTGTTGTTAAAATGAAGGTTTTTTAAAAATCTACTTAGAGATTGATTTAGTAGATCTGGATGGGCCCCAAAAGTTGCATTTTCAACATAGGTTAAAAACTCACAAATAATTACAGAGTCAACAGACACACACACACACAACAGACCACTAATACTGTTATAGGAAAAAACAAAGTAGTATGACATAAAATATTATAAAGATATTTTCTTCATGAAGCTAGTTTTATGCAAGTGCATTCATTGGCAAATACATTTTTTTTTTTTTTGTCCGGTTGTGGGGCCTGAACTCTGGCCTGGGCGCTGTCCCTCAGCTCTTCAACTCAAGGCTAGCGCTCTACCACTTGAGCCACAGCGCCACTTCCGGCTTTTTTCTTTTTGCTTATGTGGTGCTGAGGAATCGAACCCAGGGCCTCAGACATGCAAGGCAAGCGCTCTACCACTGAGCCACCTTCCCAGCCCTGGCAAATACATTTTTGAGATTTTTGTTTGTTTAAGTTTGTAGATCCTTCCATAGGAAACTTTCTAAGAGAAATGACAAGGGAAAGATAGGGTGTTGGTTTATGCCTCCAGTATTGTTTTTAGATACCTCTTCATCCACATCTAGGTCCAGATACTTAAGAGCTGTAGAGATACATGCCTCTCATTTTGCCATAATCATTAAATACTTGTAACAAATATGCAGTATTAGAAACACCAATTTATTTGAGTGGTTACCCTAAATCACCCGCACACACACGTCTGCTACAAGGGTTCATATGGAGCTGGATATGAGTTGCTTATTTATGTAATTCTAGGGTTGAGGTTAGAAGCCAGTCTGGGCAGAAAAGTCTATGAGACTTATGTCCAATTAACTAGAAAAGCCAGAAGTGATGCTGTGGAAAAAGTCAGGAGGACAGAGAGGAGTGGGCAAGGGGGTGGGGGTGGGGGGGAGAGAGGGGAAGAGAGAGATCACTGCTATGGGAATAAAAGCAATAAGTTTTGGAATGTTTTCTGTGTGTCAACCTATGAGGTATTGTTGATGTTATCCAAATTTAACGATCTAGTAAATACCTAGGCTCATGCAAGTAGTACAAGTAGTAAATGCAGAGCTATGGTACACATTTAGGTCTTTGCGCCTGAAAGCCTGTGTGTGTTCCTTAACTCCCACTTGGCTGTCTAGTTCTGAGCCAGAAATGCAATAGGAAATCCAGGCTTCTGGTGAACTATTTTCATGGATAGAACATGTTTAGCCAAGTTTATGCTAA